ATCGATCATCTATCGGATAGAGTTTGGTTGATGCTGCTTCTTTCTTCTTGCCCACCACACACCTTTTATTTCAATCACAAATATATACCTATTAGCTAGCTTAATTAGGCACCCAAATTATGTGTTTTTTTTTTTAATAATAATATTGAATTATATGTAACAAGAAAACCACTTTCAATTCTGTGTATATGGGTTTTGGTAAATCGAGCACCCTAATTAAATTATATAGCATTACAAATATCATGCATCCTTATTTTTTTTTTTCTTTTTAAAATAACTATTTTGGCCCCTAGTGTCACCACAATCATTAAATTTATATATCTTAAATTTCACATTTGTTATTGTTTTTCATGTCTATCCATAGTTCCCGTGTTTGATATGTGGGATCAAATGATCAATACACATTCAAAAGTTAAGTAAAATATTTTTTTTTGAAAGCCAACAACATTGACATATATTAATGAAGGAACGAAGTAATAAAGTCAGAAGGGACAAAGTCCTAATATAGCGAATGTTCCTGATCAAAAGTTATCATAGTTAAAGTATGAGCATATAAATTAATCCTCCGATCTAGAGACAACATTTAAAGAGCAATAATTAAATAAAGATAAAATATTTATTATAACGTAGAATAAGTTAAAAATAATAAATAGTTAACGGAATATTTCGTTATTAAAGTTTACATCGATGGAATATATGGGTATTTAAGAAAATTAAAGTAAACCGATATATATAATAGAGGGTCAAGTTAGAAAAATAAAATAAAAAAACTAAAATTAAAATAATACGAACCATTCATTTAAATAAACAATTACATCAATATTTTTTAAATTATGTTAAAGGCATAATTTTATTGGCTCTGAGCATCCACATTAGTTGGGGGAGATTTGGGGATAATGTAAGAGTGATTAGGAAAGAGAAAGTGGGAGGGGAGAGAGAAAAAAGAAAAAACAAAACAAAAAAAGGTTAAAATATAAAAAAAACTGATGAAATCAGATGCGTCGACTCGCGCGCCTGACGCGTCTCCGGGCGCGTGCAGTGTACGCGCCCGGCCTTCCTCTTGGACTGCGCGATACGCGCAGTCTTTTTTTTTTTTTTTTTTTTCATTCTCCCCTCCTTTGCAGGAGAATTATTTTTGTATTCTTTCTTCTCCACATTGGTTATTATCTTCAACATGAGAGAATTTAACTTACATTATCCCCATATTATGCATTGATGTAGATTTGGTACTGATATTGACAATTACATTTTAATTTGGTTATAATTTTGACCCCGAAATGATTTTGCAGCTCAACCTCACTATATTGATTGCGAGTAATACTCACACATTCCACTCCATTTTCTACTCCCTACTTACATGTCACTTTTTGATCCATTCATAAAAAAATGTGAGCCATGATTTTTATTGCTTTTTTTTTTCTATCTTTCTACATTAAAATCAAGACACGTGGTAGTAGATCATTTTCCTTGTAGTGCATATATCATTTTCCTTTTTTATATTGTGCATCCATGCCAACTAAGCTCATAGACGAACAACTTTGAAGCAACAATGCTAGGGGTAGTAGATCAAATAAAATAGTAAAATACTCAAACCACATTTTGGCCTTAATAACCTATTAAAACCTTATTTTTACATAATATTGCATTAGTATTCCTATATCGCGGAGTGAGACTAAATCAACTAAATCTCAATTATATCTATCAAAAAATAGCTCTCTCAAAGGTGTTGCTATATACACAATATTAGAACTTTAATTTAATATAATTATTTTTCTTTAATGACGAAAGAAACCCCTAACCACTACCGGATGGGGCATGCACTGGATAAACATGGTCTTATGAGGTTTTTTTTTTTTTTTTTTTTTTTTTTTTTTTTTTTTTTTTTGAATACTATTGACTCTATTACAAAGTAATATCCGTTCTATACTTTCTCTAAGTACTGCAGCCTAAAGAGTCAATACCCCACCACTGAAGTTCGATCCTGTGACCTTTCCTCAAGGGGCCGAGAACCACAGAGGTGTCATCTGAGCACAAGGTGCTTGGCCGCCGATCTTGTGAGTCTAATTGTCAAAGAATCTCAATGAGATAAACCAATATAAGTTGTTCATAATTGACCACTTAATTGGTTCAAACCAAGAAGGTCAAGAGGCCACTTTCACGAATAGTTGAATTTAGAACCTTAGTTTAATTTTTATCCTTTGTCGATAATAATGAATTATTAAGTAACCTATTAGCTTGCTCGGGAACTAAATTTGTTGAATTGTTAACGTTATTATTATTATTATTTTTAATTTTCTTTTTGGGCAATGCTGAATAGATAGTTGAAGGCTTGACAATCGTTATATCGTGCACCAGGGCGCATAATGCATTCTGCGTCCTGACTCAAATTTGTTGTTGGGAGTTGACGCGAAGGACATCGTTCCGTCCGTCCATTCTCGTTACAATTTTTTTAACACTTAAATTTATGTGTATTATGTGTATTATGTTAGGAATTTATGTGTATTTTACTATACAATTCTGTACATACGAAACATTAATTTTTTTTTTAAGAAGTTAACGACAAAAACGAAAAATAACGTTGTTTTGGTCAGAGCGCACAATGCATTGCACGCCCTGGTGCATGACATAATTTGCCAAGGCTTGAAGCCTCGATTCATTATTGTGTGGACCATGGTCCACACAAATTGTATGGACCATATTTTGTCTACTGTAAAATAATGTACATTCAGTATAAAAATAATGTACATTCAATACAAAAATAATGTACATTGTATTCAGCGGATATACATTATTTTTGTTCTGAGTGTACATTATATTGTATAATATATATTCGGTACAAAAATAATGTACATTTAATATATTAAAATGTATTTTTTGTTATGGTTCACATAACATTGTGTGGACCAGGTTCCACACGATAATTTGCCTGAAGCCTCCTATCCGAAAAAGAAAATATAGTTGAACCCTCATCTTTAAGATTTTCCAAAAAAAAAAAAAAAATCTTTAAGGCCGGCAGAAAATTTTGAACTGGCCCAAAGGCACGGCCCAAGGTGATACTTAATAATTCATTTTTTTTTTTTAAACAAACAACGTAGATTAATCATTCCGAAGATAAAATGTTATAAATAAAGTCATGAGGATTAGAAAATCATTCGGAACAATTAGACATAAAAATGAATTGCTTAGCTACATCGTGAGTTATCTGGTTCGCTGATCGTTTAGCAAAACATAAAAACACATGAGAAAAACAACTTAATAAATTTTTAATATCATTAATCACTAAATAGAAAGAAAACGCTCGAGTTATGTTTCAGTCTTTGCACCACCATAAGCGCATCCGTTTCAACTTGAACTTTCTCCATGTCCATCAATTTAATCCACCGTACCCCAATGCTTCCCGGATTGCCATTGCCTCTGCTTCTCTCGGAGTGTAAATGCCCCGCCATTGAATTGCTTTAGCCGCTACAAATCTCCCTTCCTCATCTCTGATGATGCAGCCAAAGCCCAGTAGCCTCCACAATTCCTTCGCATAGCTGCAATCCACAAAGAGGTAATTCATACTTATTCCCATAAAATGCCAATCACTACACTAGGGACCATGCATGTTCTACATTGTAAGGTGGCCACTATCATATATGTTATTTTTAGTATATTGAGAGTTTATTTTTAATGTACAACATAATCATTTTTTGAAAGATTATTTTTGGTATACTATGTATTCATTTGTAATGAATTTTACCAAAAAGTGAAATTTTCACATTTTAGTTGCTCCAATTTCACCGGAACGTGGATTATAATATTCCACATTCTTGTAGAATTGCTTCAATCCATTGAAAAGTGAAAAATTTACTTTTTGGTGGCTTGACACCACTACAGTTCCACCAGAGGTGGCTAATGCAGGGAGGAATAAGAATTAATATTGAGGGCAGTTTTGAAATATTAAAAAGTAATACGGAGTATCAAATTACTTAAGATCAACTCGGTAATGAGATTATCCTAAACATTACCTCAAATTCTACGTGACAATAATCTTTTATTACCTTCAATTTCATATTACCTTGAACCAAATAAAGTAATCTAAGATTACCTTTCTCACATTAACAATTTACCATGGTAATGCAAGATTCCGTGAACCAAATGCCCCCTAAAGATACATTATTTGTAACACACTAAATACTCATTTTTTGAAAGTACATTATTTGAGTATTAAGGTACATTATTTGGCCCCTCAAATGAGAGGTCTCAGGTTCGAACCCCAGTGTGGGGGCATTGACATACAGACACTACATTGCAATAGAGTCAATAGCATTCAAAAAATGTACATTATTTGGTATATTACTGATAGGATATATCCCTCGCTCGTATGACCGTAGAACTGCTCGGTATATACGTTGCAGGTCACTTCCTGAGCAAGTTCGACCCTATTACGTTTTGTCCCACTGTCGTAACTCATCTCCCGACCCCACATGCTCGGATTGGTTATACCGAATATAGAGTTTCTAGCACTAAAGGACAAACTCTACAATATCATTCCACCCGACCACCTTATGACACTGAAAACGCCAGGAATCTCTAGGCACGTGGAGCTATTGGGAGCGCTTCCGGCCACACCCGTGCATGTGAAACACGTAGTTAACATGCCAAGCTCTCAACATGTGCCTTCTCCAGCCATCTTATATAAGGCGCATTAATGCCTTGAAATGAGACTTTTGGACTCTCTCAATAGTAATATATCTTAGTTCAAAAACTTCTGACCCACTGTCTGATACCCGAGCTCATATACATACACCATAGTCAAAATCTGGTGTATTTATATTATGCACCTTGAAGTATTTATCATATCAACTATCAAATAATAAATATTAAATATACAAATAATATACATTTAATATATTAAAAATATACATTTATTTATCATCCACATTTGAATCCCAATTTATTTTTAATATAAATTGCCTAATTTTGCTTACTAAACGAAATAAAATACTCCATAAAATTTATTTAAATTCGGCCCAATTACAAGACAAGAGTAGTAGACAATTGCTCAAGCAACGAGGATAGTGTGAGCGCACGAGTTGACTCAGCGAAAACTTGTAACCTCCCGAGTCTGACTCAGTCTTTCCCAGTCTTTGTTCATGTATTGATTGATTGCAAAATATATACATCCGATCAAAGAGAAAAACCAATTTTTTGTTTCCTTTTTTCAGTTGTGAGAGAGAGAGAGAGTGTGTGGAAATGCATTCGTTCGGGTTCAGAGCCAACGCGTTGCTAACCTTCGCCGTCACCATCATGGCGCTAATGTGCGCCATCGCCTCATTCTCCGACAACTTCAACTCTCCCTCTCCCACAGCCCAAGTCGAGGTGCTTATCGGTGTGCTTAGATGCATGTTCAGATCTTTTATTTATATCTATGTGTGTATAGAGTGAGGGATATATGTGGTTTTTGGAAACCCTAGATGTTTGATCTGTTGATTTTTGGGGGTGAAATTTCAGGTATTGAATATCAATTGGTTCCAAAAAAAGCCTGATGGAGATGACGAGGTAATTTGTTTTGTCAACTTTTGTTTATCAGACCGTTTGAATTATTCCTTATAATTTGTATTAAGAGTTAAAGGGGTCTTGGATCGAAATTAGAAGTTCAATTAGTTAATGAATTGTGGGGGTTGTTTGAATTCTGCAAAAATTGGACTTCATTTTGGAAGTCTTAAATTTTGAGGTTAAGATAATGAATCAAAGTTTGTTCTTTGACTCCATAATTCGATGTGATTCATTTTTTTTTTTTTTGACACTTGAGTGGTGACAACTGTTGGAACGCCAGAGAGATATGGGAAGAAACGAGATCTAAAGAACCCTTACTTTAGAAAAATATCAGACTGCTATCTGCAGCTCCCATTTGCTCCTGCTCTTAAAATTTGTTTTGACTTGTTAATCATTTTCATCTGGTTCAAGCAGAGAGATCAACATAGTAATGGAAATTAATGTTCTTGGGCTTCAACCAGAGAAAACTACTGAACTGATACTTGGCTAGAACATATTCTGGGTGGTATATCAACAAGAAAAAGAAAATATTATTATTATTTGCTGATTGCAGTATCTTTAAGCCAACTTTCTCTAATATGTTTACTATGTTTGCTCCATGCAGGTGAGTTTGACACTTAATATATCGGCAGACTTGCAGTCACTGTTTACATGGAATACCAAACAGGTTTGTTGCTCTATCATACACCTTCTTCTAGTTTTACTGCTTCTCTCATGCTATGCCTTTAAATTATGTTGTATGCATTTCAGGGATCTCTCTCTGCTAGTAGGATGACATTTTATTTACCTTCGTTATTATCAAGTCTCTAAATGTTAAACAATAGTGTGTATACTGTGCTTGGATTTTCAAAATAGTTGTCTGTTGAGATAGATCAGAATGTGTTATTGTTGTCTACTGTGTTCCTAAGATATCCTGAGAATCATTCACTTTGATTCTTCACTAAATTAGGGTCAGTAGTGCTGCTAGATGTCCCTCTATTACTATTGGGGCCTATATATTTTTAGGAACAACTTTTTAGTTGGAAATTTGGAATATTCTTTTCATCATTTCATTTTGTTATGAGAAAGTCCTGTGGATATTTTCTCTGTCAAGTTATATGACTACACAACATTATTTCAAATTCCATATGGCCTCCACTTGTGTAATAGAATTGCGGTTTGCTTTGCTGTGTGTTAGTCTGGTGATTTCATGAATTTTGACATTGCATAAAAACTTGTTATTCTTTATCATTGAGTTCAAACTCAAAAAAGTTACTACCTGTTCTAAAGTTTCCTTGTCAATTAGATTGACGATCAGGTCTATTTGGAGTATTAATGGTGTAGTTTCTTCAAACATTTGCAGGTTTTTGTGTTTTTGGCAGCTGAATATGAAACCCCAAAGAATGCCCTAAATCAGGTACTTCCATCTTGATTGATTTAGTGTTGGATGTTCAACTTTTCCCCCATCATATATTTATCATGCTGTTTGAGATGAGTAATATTGCACTTGATGATCATATTGTCAAAACTACTATATTTTCTCATTCTGTTTTTAACCTCTTGGAATTTGAGACATGCCATGCCCTAGTAATTTGATTCTGGTATAATCAGTATGCTTATGATGTTATGCTGATTGGTGAGCTAACTTGATTTTGGCTTTGGCCTGCATGTATATGCAGGCTAGTTGTGAATTCTTTTTATTTCCACAAAGGATATATGCATCACATTATCTAGTCTAGTATATTAAACAGCAAAACATGAGTGCCTCTTGAGCGCATCCAACTTGTGATGAATGGAATAACAAACAACTGTCAGGACAACTTGAAACAATTAATTGGTTAGATAAGATGTTTTATGATCATGTGATGAAGCACCTACCAATTTTTATGCATAATTGATCCCAGTAACCTTGAAATTTGTGATAATTGAATGTTTCTTGTTCTTGGTCTTGGCAAGTTCCCAATTTTGAATCATGACTAAGAAGATGAATCATGACCATCATACATTCATCCTGTTCTGCGTTGGCTTAGAGTTAAACCATTATTTTTTATCTTAATATATCAAGCCTGCTTTGGTAAAATTAAGCAAATTTCTCAAGAGGATGCTACACATAGCTTACCCTTGGGTTCGTCTTGCAAACTTCACTATTAATATGAATTGTTTCCTCGATCTGTCCTGAATGTTCTTTTAACAGGTTTAACTTACTCTTGGGTACCTCTCACTCTACTGTGCCATGGATTAAGTTGAATTTGTTTCCTCCATTTGACCACGGTGCTCTTTCGTAACAGGTCTCCTTGTGGGATGGTATAATACCTGCTAAAGAGCATGCAAAATTTTGGATCCACACCAAAAATAAGTATCGATTCATTGATCAAGTAAGATACCAAAGCTGTTTGATCAAAGTTTGCCTTTGTCTTCTGCTTATCTTAGTTCTTATGTTAAAGTTTTTGTCACTGTTGTTTACAGGGAAGCAATCTCCGCGGTAAAAATTTCAACCTTACACTGCATTGGCATGTTATGCCAAAGACGGGCAAAATGTTTGCTGACAAACTTGTTATGACTGGCTACCTCTTGCCCGAGACATACAGATGAGGCTAACGTTTTCATATGGTTGAATTTGATGTAATATTTAGCCTTAACTTTGTGGAAGGGGAAGAAACACTGAGACAATAGAAGATTGGAAAAGGTTAAATTTTGGACAAATGTAACGGATATTCATTGGATATCAAATTATGAAAATTTAGACGTTGCAGTTTGGCCTGATGTGATGTGCTTTTGGGAATTAATGTCCCTTGCCCCCTCCAAATCCATTATCTGCCAGTTCTAATCCATCTACTGGTTAGGTTTGATTGTTTTCACATGAATTGGTGGTTTTGTGCTCTGCTTCAGCCCAAACTGATTCAATCCAATTGTTATCAATAGTTATACCATGGACCTGGGTCTATCTTGTAAAGTGGACTCGGTCCAAAATACACAATTTATCTATTGAATATTCACAATTTACATACTTAATGTTCATATTATGAATATTCAGTATGTAAATTGTGTATTTTGGACCAGGGGTGGATCTGGATTCATAGAATAATTTGGCAATTGTTATACTTTGGATTAGGGTCCTTTTTGCATTGTTTATCTTGATTATGTGTCTTTAATTAATAAATTATGTGCGTGTAAATAAATTAAAGGTATAGTATGTTAATTGCATATTATGTGTATGTAACTAATATATTATGTGCCTTCAATTTATTTATATATAATATGTTAAAGGTAACCCAACAGGGTAGCTCAAGTGGCAAATGAACTCTCTTTGTGGGGGAGGATTTCAGGATAATCCGGATTCAATTCCCACAAGTGACGCTTCCTTTTGGCCCTCTGTGCCTCTTGGAACGAACCAGGTGGACTTGGGCCGTTATACAGACAAAGAAAGACCCGGACCACATTGTGGTTTACACCAAAAATAAAAATAAAAAATATGTTAAAGGCAAAAACTAGTGTGAAGCCGTTTCACGGGTCGGGTCTTTGATTGATGAGGTCAACGTTTCGACCCATTAATAAAATATCTGACCCGTCTTACAGATTGAGACCCTTACTACTCCAGTCTCACACAAGTGTTATGGCAAAAACTTGTGTAAGACCGTCTCATGGTGAAACGGATTATGTCAAGATGAAAATGATGCAATACTTATATATTCAAATGTAATACTAATTAGGAATAAAAAAAGTTTTGTTACTTATAAGAGCAAATGTAATATTTTTAAGGAAAAAATGTAATACTTTTACATTTCGATTTAAAAGTATTACATTACATTTTTTCTCAAAAATATTATATTTTCCCTTATAAGGAAGGGGCACTTGCCAACCTTACTTATTATGAAAAATGTAATAGTTTTGATGAAAAATAATATTACTTTTACATCAAAATGCAAAAGTATTTACATTTTTCTTTATAAGTAAACAAAAATTCCTGATTAGTACATTTGAGCATACAAGTATAACATTTGCATGTAAATTCGACCCGACCCTACTTGTCTCACGAATAATGATCCGTGAGACGGTCTCACACAAGTGTGACCCGAATTATATTATGAGTTGATGCTAAATTATATTAATTAAAAAGAATTATTTGATGACTATATATATTATTTAAATTACCTCATGAATTTTGTATTTAGAAGTGGTATATCATGTGAGCTCGAATGATACAATATATGGAGATATATACCTGTTGTATAAATATCATGTATTCCAATATTTGGGGCCGGGGGATCTGAGTGGGAGGATGGGAGTAAAGAACCTACCAAAAGAATTCAGAAATGGAGGACAAATTCATTGTGAGCATCTAACTACATTTAGGCACTTAGCTACCACACACAAATGTTCGATCTCAACAAAGCAGATACCATAATCAATTATATATGTTCTATCCAATTATCCAAATTCTTTAGCTGTTTCTCCATCTCATTTCTGACTTTAGGTATTGGGAATATGAAATATGAAACAATTTTAAAACAAAACTTTCTTTTCTTTCTCTTGTCAATCATTTGGTATGAACAAAATAACATATCGAGAAGGTAACCGAGCTAAATTGGTCATCTTAATAACTATAAGGTTACAAGTTCAATTTTTAGTAGGAGTGGTTTACTGACCTTCTAGATTTGATCTGGTCAACTAAAATTACAGATCAGAGTTTATTCAGTGTATACCATCAGATAGTGTATGTTGTGGAGAATAAGTTTTGTCTGTTAAGGGTGTCTGATCTATCCAAGTCAACCTACTGCCTAACCCACTACAAGTTGAACTTTTTTGTGAGTTGGCTCACGAAGCCTGCGTGTTAGATTTCTCTGGCCAAAGGGATGCATGTTTACTCCAAAATGATGTTTTATTCCAAAGTGATGTTAATTTTACCCTAAAGTGACCCATGTAAGTTCAACATATTTATGGAAATTAAATGTCAATGCGTTTTTAGTTATAAATTTTCTAGCAGTTGTTTTGTGATGGACAGACAAGATTTAATTATTTTCATTTTTGGTAAGAGACTTACTTTCCTCACATTATCTAGACCCTATATTTAAGAGATCAAATGCGGTAACAGGCTTTGGGTGCGTCTGTCTAAAGTTTTGGATGCGTGATTTTCTTTCTTAAGTTATGTGGTTTGTGTGCTTAAGGCGCATTAGTTGTTGAAACTTAAAGGTGCGTCCGCCTAAAACTTTATATTCGTGGATTTTTTTTTTTTTTTTTGCTTAAGGTTAATTGTTTTCCTTTTTAAGGTGGGTCAGTCTAAAGTTTTAGGTGCGTGATTTTTCTTCTTTAGGTGTGTTGTTTTCCTTCTTAAGGTGCACTTTTTTTTTTTTTTTTTTTTTTTTTTTTTTTTTTTTTTACAGTTTGCTTATTTAATTGATGACTCACATTTTTTTTTTCAATTTTATTGATTTGAGCAGTTGATCTAGATTTGATCAACGGATTAGATTTAACTTCATCTTTCACATGTGAGCATCTCCGCTATATATATATATATATATATATATATATATATATATATATATATATATATATATATATATATATATATATATATATATATATATATATATATATATGGATTAGTTCACGTGCGTAGAATCTCCCAGGTGAAAGATGTGGTAAGATCTGAATTGTTGATTAAATCTAGATCAACGACTCAAATCAATGAAAGTTTTTATAAAAAACGCGCTTCCTGCCAACATGCAAGCAAATGATCAACTGTCTCAAACTAATGCACCTTAATATATAAAATTACGCACCTTAAGTTTGAAACTGATGAACCTTAAACTAGAAAAGTGACACATATTTAGCCTTAAATATACGCACCATAAGCTATAAAACTACGCATCTCAACCTTAAAACTTAAGCACCTTAAACTAGAAAGTGACGCATCTTAAGCTTTAAACATACGTACTTTAAGCTATAAAACTGCGCATCGTAACCTTAAAACATAAGCACTTAAGTTTTAAACTGATGCACCTTAAACTAGAAAGTGACGCACCTTAATCTTTAAAGTGCATCACTTCAGTACTTAAGGTGAATCAGTTTAGTACTTAAGATGGATCAGTTCGAAACTTAAGGTGCATCTGGTCAGTACTTGATGGGAAATATATCCCGGGTTCAGGCTCCTGTACGTTCCGTGCTCCTGTTTTGGTCGGGGTCAAACGGTTCAAGTCCCGATCCACGAGTCAAGGTCAAAACCGCCCACACTTGGGCTTGTAAATAGGGCCTTAGCCCTCCAAGTTAGGGTTCCTCCCTATTTCTCCTCCTTAGACTCTCTCTCTCTAGAATGTACAACCCATCACCCTTCTCTCTAGAAAATACAAGAACACTTATGAATAAAAGATCTTTATTTTGAGCTACTTTCCCTTGTCTACTCTACATTGTTCATACATACATGCATTACAACTCATACATACGATATACTGTCTACGTACAACTAGAAATTAACTGTATCATTTTTGGCGCCGTCTGTGGGGATCGAACCCACGATCACATAACCTATTTTTTCAGCCTGAACCCTTCCTCGTTAACTCGTCATCAAGACACGAACGTGGGGGGGGGGGGGGGGGGGGGGGGGAGGGAGGTGCGCTTCTTGATGGAGAATATACTCCGGGTTCAGGCTCCCCATACTTAAGGTGCATATGTTCGAAACTTAATACGCATAAGTTCGAAATTTAAGGTGTACCAGTTCAGTACTTAAGGTGCATAAGTTCGAAACTTAAGGTGTATCAGATTGAAACTTAAGATGCATTAGTTTGAAACTTAAGTGCATCAATTCGAAATTTAAAGTATATCTGTTCAAAACTTAAAGTGTATCACTTTGAAACTTAAAGTGCATGACTTTATATAACAAAATTAAGAACAAATCCTGAGAGAAAATGAGAACAACGTCAACCAGTCCAGGAAGTGTCTTTTTCATTTATTTTATTTATAATTTAAATTTACCTTGTTGATCTAAATTAGATCAACAACACCCTTTCACTCCATTTTTTTTTTTTTTTTTAATCTGGGAGTACTTCGCAGGTAAACCATTCCTTATGTATGTGTGTTCGCGCACCCTATATTAATTTTATGATTACATACTTGATAGTTATAAAATAATAGGATTCATAGCCATCCATTGGCTTGTCGTTTTGTTTGAATTGAAGATACAGAATATAGAATATAATCATATCCAAAATACTTTGAAGATGAAATGAACACTCAAACTTTCCACCCACTTCTCTTTGACAATTCATCAATTGCTTCGACGCTAGCTAATTAATGATAATTTCGTAAACTCATAATTCAATCATTTGGTAAATTACAGATTATTAATCTCACATTTCATCTCTACTTATTCAGCATATTATTAACGGTTACCGAAATTATAATTTATATTTTAACAATTTTCATTTCAACCAAGTAACTAGTAGTTCAATGGCACTTTTCAAATGAAAGGTCACATATTTAAAGCCACAATAAAAATATTAACATCTTTGTATTTCAATAGATTGAGACCTCATGTCTTATAAGTCTTTTTACTTGAAATTTGTAAATAATTAATTGGAAAAATGACACTTTTTCCCCCTGAGTTATATACTTATAGCATTTTTTCCCCCTGAATTATTTAAGTGGCTCTTTTCCCCCCTAAAATGTTAAATGGACATATTTACCCTTAAAATAAATATTTAAAATAAATATTTCATTTATTTTTCTTCTCCAACAAATTATTACTATAATTTGGTTCAAACCAAACA